GGAAAGGACAGCTTTGTGTCTTTCTGAGTATCCCTGGGAGTCCTCAGTTGCTGCACATGTGCTGGGCAGGGGTACACCCCCAAAGATCTCGAGTGCCTGGGACCTCACCTTGGGGCAGGTAAATTCCCTTCTGGAGGCTGTTCCCAGCACAGAAGCCCAGGGTGAGTTCTTGTTCTCTCCAGCATCACTCTCAATAATGAGTTGAACTGTGTCCCATAAAAAGATACATCCTGACCCCTGGTACCTAACAGCATAACCTTATTTGGAAGTAGAGTCATTTCACATGGAGGTGGCTAAGATGAGACCATACTGAACTCAAGTGGCCTCCTAGAGTCCTTATAAGAAGTGGGAAATTTGGACACAGAGTCACAGATGCATTGGGACACAGCCACGTGAAGACAGAGGCAGAGATTGGAGCGATGCAGCTGTAAGTCAAGGACACTGGGGCTGCCAGGAGCTGGAAGAGGCAACAAGGGACTTCCCGCAGCAGGTTCAGAGGGCGCATGGCCTGCTGCAGCCTTGGCCGCGGGCTTCTCACGGCCTGCAGTGCTGTGCTGGCACAGCCCAGGAAAGTGACATACTCAGGGGCCTCTGGCTCAGGAAGCAGCCTGAAGACATTCTCTCCACCCTTGTAATCTGTGGGTGTCCAGTAGGCACAAGCTGTCACCTTAGCAGGGGCAGCCTCCCAGGCAACACAATAGTTTGCCCACCCCTGTCATCTGAGAGAGGGATCCCTGGTCTTCTCAGTCTGGGCAGGGTTTGCTCTCCAGTCTGGCTAAGAGGACTTGCTCTCGGTTTTAATTTGACAGTGGACTTGTTTGGATTGCAGGATGAATACAGCCAAGGTGGAATCTGATTATGCTCAGAGCTTTTGTGGGCAGCTCGGGTTAAAGTTCTTTCCCTGCCCCTTTTTATAGTGAGCAGCTCCAGGGGACCAGCATGCCAGTTCCCGTCTGCCCAAGTACTGTGATGCTGGGGACCATCCACATCTTCAGGAGAGAGACCCTGAAGCTCGTCCCTGAGCATCCCCAGGCATGCACACTTCTCTGATCCCTTCGGAGGTCTTTGTCTTCCTTCCACCTGTCCTCTTGCTGGTGACAGCACAGCCCCAGGACTGCTATTTGGGCCCATTGCTGAGTTCCCCACATTGTATGTTAAGAAATAAAGATTTTCACAGGGTCATACAGTCTTGTTTCCTGTCGAGGATGAGATGCTATAATAATCTTGTCCTATTCCCTCTTTCACACGTGTTGACACGGGGACCCTGAGAAGAAATGCAGCCTGCCAGTGTCACTTAGGGAATTAATTCCTGAGCTGGTGTCTGGTGCCAGGGCTCTGCTCGGACCCCACTCATGCCCCTCCCCTCCTGTTCCTTTCCAATCCTCAGAGGGCCCTTGTTGAACTTAAGGCTTTTCTGGTTTGATTAATTGGCTATGGATTTGCATCCCTTAGAAAGGTATTAGCAGCATTGTTTCTGCTCAGCAAGCAGCTCTCAGAGAGCACAGGGTCGCTAAAGTGGGGCTCATGCAGGGAGAGGGTGGAAGGGATGGAGGGAAACGCACAGCGGATCCCTCCTCACCAGGGCACAGGTTCTGCCTGCTGCCCGCTCCCTGTGGGTTCTGATCGGTGGCTTCCCCTGGGGCTTCTGTGCTGGAGTCTGGTCTGCTCTTAGGTCTTGGTTCCGGTCCTGGTTCTGTCTGATTCTGTCTGAGTTATGGTATGTGGCTGGCTGGGTTGTGTCTTGGTTCTGGCTGCGTCAGATCTAATTCTAATCCAGTTCTTACTGGGGTTTGGTCCATGTCTGGTCTGAGTCTGGTCTGGATTCTGGTGTGGGTCTGGCCAGTTTTGATCTGGATTCTGACTGGGTCTCATCTGGTTCTGATACAGTTCTGATCTGGTTCTGATCAGGGTCTGGTCTAGGTCTGGCTGGGCCTGGCTGGCTCTGATCTGGTCTGTGCTGGCTGTTTATAGCCTACGCCTGGGAACCCTACATGGAGCTGCTGATACTCCTGGGTAGCCCTCACCCTTGGGTGGTTTCCATGCTTTCCCCCTGAGGGCTCTCCCTACTCCCTCATAGAACAGTGCAGGGCAGGCACGTGGGGACAGGAGCCCATAGGACAGGCAGCAGGTGGCCTATCTATCATGCCAAGAAGTGGGCTGAGCAGAACTCACAGGTGCGATGGTGGGGCCAGGGGTGGAGTGTTCCCATCAGTAGCTTAGATAAGGGGGCCAAGCCCAAGGCTGTGCTGGAGGATGACTTCACAAACAACAACCATCATGCCGGGTGCTCCAGAAACCCGACAAGAGCAAGAACACGGCTGACTGGCGTTCCCAGCCTGGATTTCACACCTAGACCTTGCAGACATACACAGATACACAGGGCGCGTTGCAGCCCCGGCGGCCCCAGAGCATAACAGACTATTTACTTGACTTTGTTTCTTAAAAGTGCCACTTTTAAGATTCTTCAATCCTTCCTCATTAGTATAGTGGTGAGAAAAAAGAAAAACACTTCAATCCCCATATCTATGCCTTTTTCTATGCTTTTTTTTTAAAGAGAAGAGTCTCATTTTGTCACCCTTGGTAGAGTGCTGTGGTGTCACAGCTCACAGCAACCTCCAGCTCTTGGGCTTAGGCAATTCTCTTGCCTCAGCCTCCCGAGTAGCTGGGACTACAAGCACCTGCCACAATGCCCGGCTATTTTTTTGTGTTGCAGTTCGACTGGGGCCGGGTTCAAACCCGCCACTGTTGGTATATGGGGCTGGCGCCCTACTCATTGAGCCACAGGTACCGCCCAGTCTTTTTCTATGCTTGAGGAACAATAGTTCTCTAATAGAGAAGCTCATCCTGAGTTGGGTCTCACGTCCCCTGCTGGACCCCACAAGGGCCACATGGAGGGGACCCTTCTCAGCTGCAGCCACACCATGCCTGGGTGCCCTGGGAGCCAACACCGTCCCTGAAGTGAGAGGTGTCAGAGTCTCCAAGCAGGGGAATGTGCAGATGGCTTTTGCTCAGCCCTGGAGAGCAGACCTCAAAGTCTCAGTGGGTCAGTTCTAAAGGTCAGGACCCTCTATTCCACCTGGTCTGTTTTTCCCAACAGAGGGCTGAACGCTCCCAGCTTCTGCCCCGTCCTGTTCCTGGTGTCCTAGAGTTTTGGCCTGTGTGAGCTTCCTGTAGTTGGTGTTGCCATCTGGTGCCCCAGGGTAGACCCCACCCAAGGACCAGCCCCAGGTCCTGTCCGGGAAAGCCCTGCAGTTGTGCCCCCGCAGGCTGGGTGGGCCTGCCCTGGGGCTGCAGGAATGGCCTTTGCAGGTTCAAGACTGACCTCAGGGGGTTTGTGACCCAACTTTGGGGGGGCTCCAAGTGGCAGGTAGTCAGCTCTGTGACTGTGTGTCCTGGGGCAGCTTCAGGTGTATGGGGCCCAGATGGGGATCAACTCAGGACCCTGATCCAACACCGGACGGAATAGGCAGGTGGTAATGAGCAGGTGCCCTCGATGACGTCATATGGGGCTCCAGGGGGGTCTGGGTCCCCAAAGCACCTGGCCCCAGGACACAATACCCTGTCATGCTGGGATCTTGCCCTGTGGAGGAGGGATCCCGTTGTCCCCAGCTCTTCCATTCATCTGTCCGTGGAGGGGAAGCTGTGCGGGGCACGAGGCTGTCTGGAGTTCCCCATCCCCCTCCATCCTCTCTCTGCTCTCTGGGCCACATGTTTGCCAGCCATCCTCACTCACCTCCCAGGCACAGGAGCTGGATCCGTTTGCAGCTCAGAGCTGCCCCCATGCCTTTGTTCCTGTGCCCCTTTTCCCACCGGGATGATACTCTTGGCCCTCCCTGGGGCGACAGCCGCCCTCTTCTCTGTAATGAGGCTGAATCGCAGGGCCGCTGGCTTCCTGCCTGGCTTCCGTTTCTCTCTGCTGCTCTTAAACAAGGCCTCAGGGACTCTACGTCCAAGTTAAGGTGGCATCTGGTGACAGGGTGGAACGTTCAGGAGCCCATCTCTGAAAGACAGGAAGACAGCAGGGAGAGCTCTCCCCTGGGCCAGGACTCTGGAAAACATGCAGGCTTGGGCACCCGGCGGCGACCAGGAGGAAGTCTCAAACTAGGGACCGCCGAGCCCCCTCGGCTTCCTGTCTGGTTAGGCCCCTTGGAGCTTTACATGAGGACACTAAGTGTACTGACGTGACTCCTGACCAGGAGGGGACATTCTGATCTGACATCACACTGAGAAATATCTCTGAATTGGGAGTCATTATCAATGCATCCAGTTGCTTCTATTTTATTCTTTATAGCACATTTAAATAGTCTACTTGAAAAAAAATTAGTGTGGCTTTGCTTGGGGTGCATAGCTTTCTCCTTTTTATAAAACTCTCAGATGGAGACTTGGCAGAAATTCTAAAGCAATTTGATGTGGCTACAAAATGTTAATCTCTTTTAATTATTAATCAAGGAATTAATAATGTATTAATTAATTATAAATAAATTGTATATAAATAATTTATGCTTATATCAACACATGAAACAAGTACAGTATTTAATTAATACAAGCATGTGTGTACCCGGGGTGGGGGGGACAGCCCAGCCAGTGGTGCGGCTCTGGGTGAGGACCCGTTCACAGTAGGTGCAGGGCCTGGGCAAGTCACCTGGGGTCCACCTGACATCACCTCCTCACCCTGCAGGGGGCATGGTGGAGTCCTCGCAGACTAGATAAGGAAGGAGAAGAGTTCTGTGAGCGCTAAAGCAGTGCACACAGCTGGTGATTATCATTATTATGACCTGTGAAGTGCAGTGGAAGAAGTAAACTATTCTTGGTTGAGAATTAAGATACAAGTTCGGTTTTTTTGCTCAGAACGCAGTGCTTTATATCACAGCATGAAGAAAGCTGCCTTTGACCTTGGTTCTGTAAGCAGGTATGCTTGTGTGTTTGCATATTTACTGTGTTGAGACAAACCAAAATGAATCCTGTGACAGTGACAAATAAGTGTGATCTGCTTTTTGCAGGATACAAGACCCTTCTGAAAGGAATCTCTGGGAAATTCAGCAGTGGAGAGCTGGTTGCCATCATGGGTCCTTCTGGGGCTGGGAAGTCCACACTCATGAACATCCTGGCGGGGTACAGGTGAGCCACCTTGCACGGGGAGTGAGTTCTCACCCAGGGCTCAGGCTGATGGCATGGGCAGTGGCGTGACTTCAAGCAGCACTGTTGCCCCTGAGCATTCTGGGGGCCACAGGAGTGGCCTCTTAGGTTCTGTATGCACAGCTACTGAGAAAAATGAGGAAATAGGGCCCAGGGAGGAGAGTGACACTGAAAGGTCACACTTGCCAATGGCCACATGAAGGGGATGGCAGGTGCTCAGGGACGGGTCATAGGCAGAGCAGGCACCGCTGCACCCAGAGTGAGCTCAGCCTTTGGGGATAGGAAGATCAAGGTCGGTGGAGGGATGGGGCTCTAAGAGAACAAGTGCGAATCAGGCAGGAAAGTGGACCGAGGCATTCTGAGAAGGGAGTGAGAGCTACTGGGCTGGGCTCGTGATGCTGCTGAGTGCTTAGAAGCCCGGACACCACAATCCCGTTGCTCTGCCCCACACCAGTCATTTGTGAATGATGAGAAAACAGAATCTTTAGAAGCATTTTTAAAAAGTACTCTCTTAAAGCCAGTTCCTTTCACTTTTTATGGGTTCTATTTGCTAACTTTAGTAAATAATAATATAAAAATAATTTCATTTACTGAAAAAAGACAAATATCATTCTTTTTCTTTGGAACTTCCGAAATTACTCTTTAATGCCAGAAATTAGCGTTTCAAATAAAGGTCACTTCTGACAAATTCCTGCATGTTACATTCATATCTAAAGGTTAAAGCCAAATTCTTACCACCCAGAGTCATGAGTGGCTGGAGGAGAGGGGGCACCTTCTCTAGGGGCTGCCGTGTCCCCACACATTAAGCACCCATAACTCCCGGCAGCCTCAGGGGATGCTCCGGCCTTCTGGGGCTCAGGGCAGCCCAAGACCATCAGGATTCCAGGGATCCAGGAGAGCCAGGTGGTCCTGGTCTGTTCCCTGGAAGAAAGGAGGGAGAGAATGGCCAACTTCATTTGGCCTGGAGGGGTCACAGGCCAAGTGAAGTTGGAAACCAGTGTGACTCCGTTCATCCCGGTGATTCTCCCCGGTCTCTGTCCTCCATGGCATCCAAGGGCAAGACTGGAGCAGCCAGACCCTCAGACATCGGGAGAGCAGACTGCCCGGGTCGATGCTTTTGGGAAAGTTGCAGGAGGCAGAGGTGCTCAGCAATAGCATAGGGGATCTCAACCTGCCCACTGGTCAGAGAGGATTCTCCTGCATGGGGAAGGGCCACCCACTGAGTGGGGCCAGGGCCCAGGCCCCTCTCTCTGACCCACCTGAGCCCGAGGTCCTGCTGGTGCTCCTTCCTGGACCTGACTGAGGGAGTCCTCAGCCCCTGGCCAGCTGGCCCGGCCTGGCTGCGCACAGCAGCATCCTTGCTCCCTGTGGGCCTTTGTCTGGCGGGCAGAGAAGGTGCAGTGACACTGGGCACAGACATGCCGGCCACAGGGCTCGTACACCCTCCGCTCCCTGCTGGCACTCTGTCCACTTCTCCCTCCAGAGTGCCATGGTGCTGCATAGCTTCTGGTCCCTGTGTGCCCCTCAGCGACCCTGTGGCCGTTTGTTCAGCTGGGAAGTTTCGGGGAGAGAAGCCCCCCTCCCTGCTCCCCTTCCCAGGCCCCCGGGGCAGAGGAGTAGAAGGCTGGGAAGGCCCCATGACAGCTCCCCTTTCCTGGCTCTGCAGGGAGACTGGCATGAAAGGGGCCGTCCTCATCAACGGCATGCCCCGGGACCTGCGCTGCTTCCGGAAGGTGTCCTGCTACATCATGCAGGACGACATGCTGCTGCCTCACCTCACCGTGCAGGAGGCCATGATGGTGAGCCCCCCACACCCACGGGCTGGCCCCGACCTGTGTGTGGTCAGCACCCTCCTGCAACCCTGGTCACCTGCAGAGTTTTAACTCCAGGCTTGCTGTTTTGACAGCTTCATCAGAAACAGACCCCTAGACTATGAGTTCTGAGGGACCTTGTTTGGTCAAATTCTGAGATTATTGACCCAGCTGATGTGGGTGATCATTTCCAGGGCAACCACAAGCCCACCCCTACTCTAGGCCTCAGGACCTTCCCTCCCGTCAGCCATCCTTGAGCCATCCTATGTCTTCAGCCCAAGTCCCAGCTCACCTTGGTCCGGGCCTGGCAGTCTTATCCCCTGACTCACCTGCCTGCCAAGTGGGGGGAGGAAGCCAGCGATTGCAGAGCCCTCCTGGGTCTGTTGCATGTGCACATAGCCTGCACAGGCACCAGGCATGTCATCTCAGCACAGTACATGTGACACACAGCTTCCAGGAGATAAGCAGTGAGCCCAGGGTCACACAGCTGCAGAGCCCAGGGTCACACAGCTGCAGAGCCCGGGGTCACACAGCTGCAGAGCCCAGGGTCACACAGCTGCAGACCTCTTTGACTCACAAGGGGCTCCTTTAATTGCTGGCTCAACTTCCCTGCCACACAGTTGTTTAATCTCCCGCAGCCTCAGTTTCTCCAACTATAAGACAAGGCCAGGCTGGTTGAATGTTGAATGGGAGGGTGTGGGGACAGTAGGGACGGGCTTTGTCCTCCTGGTTATTATACTTGGTCACTGTTTCTTTACACTCCTAGTGCATCTCCTATAGTGTCCTCACTCGCATCCTTCCTGGATACATCCAGAATTTGTGGGAAATTAAAATGCCTTCACCCTTTGGGGCCACAGAGGTGTCCAGGTGGTGTCCTACACAGAGTCCTCCTACACAGAGGCCTTCTGGCTGTGCACAGGGGATGTCCCAGCCATGTGATGTCGCTCTGGGCTTCCAGCCCTACATTTTAAAAAGACCCAAGGGCGACCCAGACCACGGACCTTACTGTGGGCAGGGGAAGCCACTAGAACACCTGCTGTGGAAAGGAGATCTGAGCATCAGTCTGCAGGTCACGGCTCGCTTTGTGCAGGGAGCTGTTTGTTTTTCTGCTTTCTCCTTGTCTGCTGCAAAATAGAGTCCCTGGCCTCCGTGCCCCTCCTGGCACCTCAGGGGACGTTCTCAGCCTGTTCTGGCAGCCGTGCAGTGTTTCATGAGAGGGCAATTCCAAGGTGTCCTCAGCTCAGTAAAGAGAAGCGGTTTAAGTTTTCAGATACGTGATCTGCCTCTCACCTGCTTTGTGGGGAAACAGAGCGAGGGCCCTGCGGGTCTGTTCTCACTTGCCCTGGATGGTACTGCGTGTTCTGGAGATAAGGGGACACCTCTCCACAAGGCCAGCTTTCCCGGGAGGTGTGGCTGGGGAGTCTGGACTGTCTATCTGGCTTCCAAATGGGCGTTCAGGCCGAGCGCGGAGGGCTCGCAGGGAGTCTTCTTTGCCCTGATGGTCAGCGCTCTGAGTGTGCAGTAAACACTCCCTTTATATGCCCCTGTTGACTCCAGGTAACCTAAGTTTAGACTCTGCCATGAAATAAATCTATTTCAGAATTAAATTCAATTAGTCTTTGATTTTGAGAATTTTGCACTGCCTTTAGAAATACTTTGACCCCAGGTTCCTGCTCACCTGTGGGATGATGTCAGCCGGTGGCGGCAGCCGAGGCCTCATCACATGTCGGACTCAGCTATGTGTTTTTACAGGCACTGCTGATCCTCCTGACCATCGGGCAGATGGGGAAGTGGCAGTCAGTGTTGCAGGCCGGCAGCTGGCTCTGTCTCACCCCAGGGCCTGTGACCTCTGTGCCACTCTCCCCTGCTCTTGAATCTGTCATTTGACCCTTGCAGCAACTCCACTAGCTACTGAGGAAAATAGGGTTTAACACACACCCATGAGGAAACTGAGGCTTCTTGTTTGATTGAGGCCACATCAGAGCCAAGGCTGGCAGTGGGCATCATGACTGCAACTCAGGGTTTACCAGACAGGACAGGGGCCCAGTGCATGGTATATCCACAAACAAAAAAGCGCAGTAACCAAAAACAACATCCTGACCTGTATACTTGGCAATTTCCATGGTGTTAATACTCCCTCTGTGTATAATTTCAAGCTGCCAATGGTTTAGCATGTGTTTTGTGAAATTCCTAAGTACACACCCCCATCCCAGCCCAGGCAGGACTGTGAGTCCCTGGCGCCTCTAAATTGCCCACATCTAACTTTTCTCATGGTACAGCAGAGAAGTCAGCTGAGATAATGGAGGCATCCCGGACACTTCAGTAAACAGCAGGATGGGAAGTGCAGGCCTCCTTGGGTTTTAGTAGCCGTCATGTAGCTCAGAGAGCCACAAGGCTCTGGGCCTGCCTGGGGGGATGAGGCTCACCCTGCCAACACCGGTCTGTTCTGTCTCTTCACCAATGACCTCGTCCCTGCAGGTGTCAGCACATCTAAAGCTTCAGGAGAAGGATGAAGGCAGGAGAGAGATGGTGAGTGGGGTGTTTGGGGGCACTGTGGTCCAGAGAGTGCGCTTTCCTTTGGAAAGTGTGTACGCAGGGACATTTCTGTACTGGGTTTTGCTTGTTGGCTTGTTTCCACCAAGCCTGCTGGGCCGGGGGGCAAGTACTGTCCTGGGGTGTGTTGTGGCTGCCAAGAGACCAAGAGAGGTGGCTCCAGTGACAAGTCACAGCTTTGATTCTCAGGTCCAGGAGTCAGGACCCATGGTGGGGTGACGGCCTTAGAGCACAGGTGGCCAGAAGACTCCAACTTCAGTGTCAGTCTGGAAGAGTGGCTGCTTTTAGTGATTAATATGCTTTATTTTAAGATGCTTTTCTTTTTTTTTTATAAAATACTAACAATGAAGATAGTTAGTCATTCGTTTAAAAATAACCACCCTCCACCCACCCACACTTGGAAAAAGAAATTTGCTCTTATATGCTATTAACCGGCCTTTTAAAAAAGAAAACAAACAAGTTTCCAGGATGATGAAGACTTTCTAACCCACGTTTCCCACTTTGTTTGGCTCCCTAACCCTAAGCCCTCTGAAGCTGGGGGTGGTGGAAGGTGCTGGGGGCCACATTTCGGGTGGAGATGATCAGCCTGTGTGTTCCCACCCCCAGGGTACTCAGCAGTGCTGGAGAGGCTGTCAGTATGAGATAGAGTTTGGTGAAATCCCCCTTATATAATAGTATCTTTGGCTCCTAACGCTCTTACAGAACCACATCCGGGGCTGAGAACTCGGGAGGTCAGGGTGCGAGCTGCAGGTGCCGGTGTGTGGTGTGGTGTCAGATGTGCTCAGGTGCCTGGGCGGCGGCTCCATCAACGCCATTCCCATCCTGTCCTCACAACAGTCACTCTTAAGTCTACTCTACCACTTTGACCTGGGAGAAAAGCCTGGAAAACCTTAGGGTTGTCCTTCTTCTCCTCTCTGTGCCCCTCAAAACTCTTGGCGTCTAACCCATGTCATGGGGATGCACGGGTTAAACGCACAGCATTGGCAGAAAGATCCCGACTCCTGAGAGAAATTAAACAACTCCTCGTTGCAACAGAAAATATTTTGCATGGGACTTCTCTGTTCTGAGATTGAGGAGAAGAAAATGGACAAGTGAAACCAAAATAGAGAGCGTGGGAAGCACACGTTTCCGGGGGCAGGAGGACAGGGCAGGAGGACAGGGCATGTGGCTTGTGTGCAGACGAAAGGAGAGACCCCCTGTGCACAGCTTAGCTTGGATGTCAGACCCCTGCAGACCGCCTCCCATGCCCGGACATCCATCATACCGTGTATTGTAAGACTGTGTAACAGGCTGAACCCCACTACTGAAGTCAGAACCCCACAACCTCAGAATTGTCTGTATTTGCAGACAGGGTCTTTAATGAGGCGATTAAGTTAAAAGGGGGTCATTGGGTGGCCCTAAGCCAGTGTGACTGGTGTGGTAAGAAGAGGTGAACACACAGACACTTGTCCCTCTGGGACGACCCTGTGAGGACATGCCGAGGAGAGACAGCCTTAGAGGAACCAGCCCTGCCACCGTGGCCTCCAGGATTCTCCTCCTCTTGAGTTCCTGGGCCACGTGGATGACCTCATCTCCCCAGGGAGCTGCTGGACTGGGGTCAGCTCATTTGGGTCACGAGAGTAGAGACCTGCACTGCAGGGGTGCCCGGTGGGGTGGGGACAAAGTTGGGCAAATTTGGAGGAAGGCTGGGGCGGTGGCAGTTGGCATGGCACCTGCCCTCCCCTGGACTTTTGAGAAGACACTGGGGCTGTAACTGGCCGCGTCAGCTCGAAGTCTGCAGCCCTCGCTGCTCCCTGAGCCAAAGCCGGATCAATACTCTGGGACAGGCCAGACGGCTCCACGTACAGGGCACCCACTGGCCCTGTGGGGTTGTAACCACATTAGGCAAACACCACGCCTTGTTGGCCCTTGTTTTCAAGCCAAACCTATTTACAAGCACAAAAGTGACTTGGTTCTCGCTTCCCGAGGAGCCTGGCTTGTGCCCCTGCAGGGGTTGGGTTTGCAGTGTGGATTCAGCCATGAATAGTGGTGCCGAGTCCTTACGTTGGCCAAGTGCTGCGCCAGGCACTTAGCATCTGCTCTTTCACTGATCGGGCATGGCCTCCTATGTGCTGGAGAGGCCTGACCCACTATCCACCCACATCACCCATCCATCAGCCCATCAAGCATAGGGGAGCCCCTGCAAGGTGCCCACCAGAGGGACCGTGACAGACTGACCAGTGTGTGGGGTGGTCAGCATGAGGACCTAGGCCTCCTATACTGACACGCACATGGTGCTTCATGCCCAGTCTGTGAGAATGAGGCCCGCGGGAGGGGGTGGTCAGTGTGGGAGGGGGTCAGCTGTGGCGGCCTCACTGTATTTATTGGATGTCTTCTCAGGCTGGGCTCTGGGCGAGGCTTAGAGGTGAGGCATGTGCCCTGGTCACCAGCAGAGGTTGGGTGGGGACTCAGAGCCCTAGTGCCCTGGTCACCAGCAGAGGTCGAGTGGGGACTCAGATCCTCACTGCTTTTTCTCCCCTGGGCAGTGCTGCCGGGAGGTCCTGGCCCCACAAGGACCACTATTATGGACACACTGCCTACCCCACCTAGCACCAGACAGCCTAAGGACCAGCATAGTGTGTCCAGCAGGGTGGGGACAGTGGGCAGGTCTTTCTACACAGGCCCTGGGAAAAGGTGACATTCAGTGGCAGGAGGTTCCTAACTGGGAGTCTGGTTCCATCATCCTTCAGGTCAAGGAGATACTAACAGCGCTGGGCTTGCTGTCTTGTGCCGATACGCGGACGGGGAGCCTCTCGGGTGGCCAGCGGAAACGGCTGGCCATTGCTCTGGAGCTGGTCAACAACCCCCCAGTCATGTTCTTCGATGAGCCCACCAGGTGAGCCTGAGCCTTGGGGCATCTGGACAAGCACCCCCCCCCGCCCCTGCCCGACAGCATCCAGGTCAGGTCTCCCCTGACGTGCTGCCTCCCCAGCCTCCATTCTAGGACATGAGGCAGAGGGGCTGACTCCGCCTCCTGCCCCTGCTGAGGACCTCATGGGCTCAGACTTAGGCCGTGCACTTGGTGTGGGGGGATGGCTTGGGGAGCTGTCCCTTCATGGCACTCACGTCTTCCCACGGGAAGGGGCCAGTGACCTGGTGTTCGCACATTCAAGGCTCAGAGGAGCAGGAAGGACCTGATGCCCTTCACATTTGGGGACCCCACTGGGCAACGCTGCGCTGGGCTCCTGGCTCCAGCACCCATGGGTCATGGGTCAAGCTCACTAGTTCCTGAGAAGGTCTGGGCAGTCAGTGACTCCCCACCTGCCACTCCCCTCTCCAATTCCAGTTGAATGTGACAGTGACCTGCAGCCTTCTGCAGGGAGGACACATCTATTTTGTTCACTTCACCTGGCACAGAGCCTGGCCTGCAGTGGGCAGTGCTTAGGCAGCTCGAAAAGGTAGTTTAGGAAAAGTGACCACAAGGAACCCTGAGAGTGGCACCTTGCAGGCTCCCTGCCCCGGGAGAGGCCAGCGTGGGGGCACTCAGCACTCCTCATTCCCTGTCCTGTCACTTCAGCATCAAGGAGCAGGAGGAAGGCTGGGGTCTGGGGAGGAGGAGAGAGGCCCTGCCAGCCCCAGCAAGAGCCCACAGCAAGCCTGGGCACCCTGCACCCTGTGGGGGGCACCCTGCACCCTGTGGGGGGCACCAGCATGTGCATGGACACGTCTGCCGGGTAAAGCCCGGCCCCAGCTGCTCCAGGGCCTCCCTTTATGGGATGATGTCCCCATTGCCAGTCCCCAGATGGGGTGAGGAGCCACGTTGCTCATCTGGGAGGTGCCACTGGCTGCCTGGACAGTTCTGTCTGTGCTGATGTCTCTGTTGAGCATAGATGCATCCCTGGTCCCTTCAGTGAGACTGACTGGGATTCCTCCATCCTTTTCAGGAATAAAATGTGACACACAGCCCCACTATGTGCCCTGCCATGGAACATTAAAGCAAACAGGTGGAGCAGAGCCTGGCCTTGGGGACAGGGTGTGACTCCCGGAACCCCTAGGACCTGGGGCAGCAACTTGTCCCTGCCTGCTGCCCGCAAGCATCTCATGATGTCCCTTGCCTTGCAGTGGCCTCGACAGCGCCTCCTGCTTCCAGGTGGTGTCCCTGATGAAAGGGCTGGCTCAGGGCGGGAGGTCCATCATCTGCACCATCCACCAGCCCAGCGCCAAGCTCTTCGAGCTATTTGACCAGGTAGCAGCCCAACTCCTCCCACCCTGTGCCACCTGCCACGTTTCCATTGGCTGCAGTGGAGCCAGAGCCTGGGTGCTCCCCCTGCATTTAGCTTGAGAGGCCTTAGGGGTTACGTTTCATGAGACTTTGGGAACCATTTGCAGTGTGGGAGAGTAGAACTGCTGAGCAGTGCCCTCTCTGCCCCGGGTGACTCCTCCTGGGCACATCACTAACATCATGGGGCTCATCACTTCCCCTGCTAAAAGGATGGGGAGCACATGTTCTACAGAATTAAATGACAGATTACACTTGTGCAATACCATCTGTTTTACAAATTTTAGCTTTTGGTATTAATATGAGCAAAAATAGTCTCAAAGACATGAAATATATGCAGCTCCAAAATGTTTTTCCGAGCTGGGAGTTAGTGTGGTTTTTTTTTCAAGTGCAACATGCACATATAATAAAATGATCCCTGGCCACATGACCTCAGTCCTGGCTGAGTCACAGTGGCTCTCCCTGTGGGCTTAGTGGGGCCCAAGTGGGGTGAGGGAGGCCCTCAGAGAGGACAGTGGGACAGATTGGCCCCTGATTGGTGGGTGGAGAGCCTCTGCTGCTGACCCAGCAGGCGGGGTTGATGGAGGCCCTCAGGAGAGGACAGCAGGATGGACTGGTGGGTGGAGAGCCCCTGCTGCTGACCCAGCAAGTGGGAGTGACACTTTTTGTCTTCACACTTTTCCAGCTTTATGTCCTCAGTCAAGGACAATGTGTGTACCGGGGGAAAGTCTCAAACCTGGTGCCATATTTGAGAGATTTAGGTCTGAACTGCCCAACCTACCACAACCCAGCAGATTTTGGTAAGTGGCACCCTGGCCGGCGGGAAGGGACAGGAGGGGCTTCACTTATCTCTGACGGCCCCACATCAGCAGCCACTTGACAGTTCCACCAACAGCTCAAGTGCCATCCTGTGATGGAACTTTCCAAGAGCAGAAAAGAGGCTTCCTTTCCTTGAGATATAAATATTATGCCAGCTTGTCTCTGCCCCGTCTTCACGTGGCCTCCTCTGTCACTCTAGGTCCTAATCACCTTGCCTCATGAGGACACCAGTCAGTGGCGTTAGGGCCCACCCTAAACCCCGGATAACTCAACTCAAGATCCATGACTGGTTACCTTTGCAAAGACCCTTGTCCAAACATGGCCACTCGCTGAGATCCCAAGTGGCCGTCCCTCCTCTTGGGCCTCTTATAAAACATCTGATCACATAAACTGCCAGGGCTCCCTGTTTTCTACAATGTCGTCTCCCAAATGGTGTCCCCAAGATGCTGGTCATGAGCAGCCCATCACACTCACAGGACGTGGGCAATGAGTGGAGGGACGGAGGGCGGTAAACAGAGGCAGGGACAGCGACAGCGGGGGCCCCAGGAAGGGAGGGTGTGAGTGAGATGGGCGTGCCTGCAGCCCCGGAGTGTCCGGCAGGGAGGGTGTGAGTTTGCCTGCAGCCCCGGAGTGTCCGGCAGGGAGGGTGTGAGTTTGCCTACAGCCCCGGAGTGTC